TCGAAAGAGGAAAGAGGAAGTGGACAAGTGCATGGAGGAAAAAGGGAAGGCGGTGATGTGTCGCCTCAATACGATTGTCGGACTAACGACGCCAGGCATGATTAAAGTAAGGGGAACAGTGCAAGGGCGCGAGGTGGTGGTGCTGTTGGATTGGGGAGCTACTAACAATTTTATGTCACAGAAGCTCGTAAGTGAACTCAAAATTCCCCAATCGGAAACGTTTAATTACGGAATAATCGTAGGAACAAGGACGACTTTAAAGGGGTAGGGAATCTGTTGCAGGGTGATATTAGAACTACCAGAAGTGACGGTTGTGGAAGACTTCCTACCCATCGAGTTGAATGACCTAGATGTAATCTTGGGAATGAAGTGGCTTCAATCAATGGGGAAGATGAAAACGGACTGGCCAGCCTTGACCATGTCGTTTATCAGAGGAGACAAATGGATCATGCTGAGGGGTGACCCTACATTGGCACGATTGGAAGTTTCACTCAAGAGACTTACTCGTGCTTGGCAAGAAACTGATCAGGGTTCCTTGTGGAACTGTGGGCCTTGAATGTGGCGTTGGAAATGGACAGGGTAACCTTGCCGGCAGAAATTCTGCAATTGATAGCGGAATATCAAGATTTGTTTCATGAACTCGAACAGTTACCTCCCCCCAGAAACATTGATCATCGAATTGGGATTAGAGAAGGGGAACCTCCGATGAACATCAGACCTTATTGCTATGCCCATGCCCAAAAAACAGAGATCGAACGAATGATTGAGGACATGATACAGAAAGGATTGATCCAACCGAGCCCTAGTCCATATTCGAGCCCAGTCCTACTTGTGAAGAAGAAATATGGGAGCTGGCGTTTTTGCATGGACTATAGAGCTTTGAATAACATTACCATACCTGACAAGTTCCCCATACCCGTGATCGATCAGTTGTTGGACGAGTTACATGGTCTTGGGTCTATTCCAAAACCCTAATTTGCAAACGCACATTACTCTCCTCATGGTGGTGTTTAACTTGCTGCGAGATCATTCCCTATACGCCAATTACAAGAAGTGCAGCTTCGCTCAGACCAAGGTGGAGTACTTGGGGCATTGGGTATCAGAAGAGAGGGTAGAGGCCGATCCTGAGAAGATTGGAGCAATGTTAAGTTGGCCTGTTCCCAGGAATTTGAGGGAACTCCGGGGCTTCTTAGGCCTAACCAGATACTACAAAAAATTCGTGTTGAATTATGGAACCTTGCTGCATCTCTCACCCAACTACTTAAAAAAGACGCATTCAAGTGGAATGATCAGGCAACCGAAGCGTTTGAGAAGTTGAAAACAGCTATGGTGACCCTACCAGTCCTAGCTCTCCCTGATTTCAATCTGCCATTCGTGATAAAAACGGATGCTTCGGGTACTGGTTTGGGAGCAGTGCTCACACAAGAACAACGACCTATTGCCTACTACAGTCATACGCTGTCTAGACAGGGACAAGCTAAATCTGTGTATGAGCTGGAGTTGATGGCGGTAACACTAGCAATTCAGAAATGGAGGCCTTACCTGTTGGGGCAAAGGTAAAGGTTTATTGTCCGAACTGATTAGCAGGCGCTTAAGTACTTACTAGAGCAACGGATTGTGCAGCCTGAATACCAAAAGTGGGTGTCTAAACTCCTTGGATACGACTTTGAGATTTAGTACAAGCCCGACTTAGAAAACAAAGCGGCTGATGCCCTTTCGAGGATGCCCCCCACCAGTCAGTTGAATGTGCTAACCGTCGCCGCTTTGTTAGATGTAGAGCTCTTTAAGTCGGAGGTCTCGACCGATCCGTTCCTATCCAAGGTCTTGCGTGAGATAGCAGCTGACCCGGAGAGCCATCCCAAGTACAGTGTTCAACATGGTACCCTCAACTACAAGAATCGAATGGTAATCTCTGGTGGTTCCTCACTGAAATCATCCACCCTCCATCTTTACCACAACTCGATTATGGGTGGCCACTCTGGATTCTTACGCACTTATAAGAGGATAACCAGAGAACTTTACTGGGTAGGGATGAAAGCTGATGTAAAGAAGTTTGTGGAAGAATGTTGTGTGTGCCAACACAACAAGTCTATGACCGTTTCCCCTGTAGGGCTACTCCAACCGTTAGCTATTCCAATGCAAATATTGGAAGACATCACAATGGATTTTGTGGAAGGACTACCTAAATCAAGGGGACAAAACACAATATTCGTGGTTGTTGACAGGTTGAGCAAGTATGCACATTTTATCCCCCTCTGTCATCCGTTTACAGCAAAGACAGTGGTTGCGGCATTTGTCAAAGAGGTGGTACGTCTACATGGGTTCCCACAATCAATTATATCCGACAGAGACAAGATCTTCCTAAGTAACTTTTGGACAGAGCTGTTTCGCCTCCAAGGAACTAAGCTTAAAAGGAGTACCGCCTATCACCCACAGACGGATGGTCAAACAGAGGTGGTGAATCGATGCCTCGAAACCTATTTTCACTGTTTCTGTGGGGAATCTCCACGTACTTGGGAAAGCTGGTTATCGTGGGCAGAATACTGATATAATACCACGTTTCATAGCTCCCTCGGCTCGACACCATTCCAGGCCGTTTATGGGTGTGCACCACCCCATTGCTATACTATGGCAACCAGAGGATAGTTATTGCAACACTGGACCAACAATTGGCGGACAGAGACCAAGCACTATTGGTGCTTAAAGACAACCTGCTGTGAGCACAGTGAAGGATAAAGAAGTTGGCGGATGAACATCGCACAGAGATGGAGTTTGAAGTAGGGGATGCTGTATTCTTGAAAATTCGTGGATACCGCCAGAAGTCCTTAGCCAAGTGGAGGAATGAAAAGCTATCTGCCAAGTACTTTGGCCCTTACACAATGGAACAACGAATTGGCCAGGTTGCTTATCGCTTGGCTTTGCCACCAGAAGCCGTGATCCGCCCCGTATTACATGTCTCTCAGCTTAAAAAAGCTATTGGAAGCAACTTTGCTGTCCAACAGATCCCCTCCCCAACTGACAGAGGAGATGGAGTGGAAGTTAGAGCCTGAAGAAATCTTTGCTACGGGAGCTAATGAGGCCACTGGTGCTCCAGAAGTCTTAGTGAGTTGGAAGGGACTACCTGAAGAGGAAGCTACCTGGGAATAATTCGAGGAAATGCAACTCCAATTTTCGGATTTCTCCCTTGAGGACAAGGTGGAGCTGATAGAGGGGGAAGTTGTTAGGCCACCAATAGTTAACAAATATACTATGAGGGGCAAGAAAGGAATTGTACTCGGGTAGAGGGGAGGAATAACCGTTTTAGGTTGTGGGGCCCAGGGATCAGTGTGGGAGTGAGGGCCGAGTAGATATAGAAGGAGGTTAGGGAATGTCGGGGATTATGCTTGTTTTTGGTCAGTATTGTAAGGAGGTAGAAGGAGAGCTTACCCACCCTCTCGAATAGGTGGGGTGTTTCTGTATTGCCTACGGGCTTTTGCTCGAGATTCAATCAAAGAGTGAGGAAATACCTCACCAGATGGGTGGAAGGCAGTAGAGAAAATTTTCCTTAAATTTGAAAAGTGAAATTATTTAAGCATGACGGTCTGAGGTTGTTAGAATACAAGCAATGGGTATTGATCAAACAGAGGGGTTTACAGTTGATGCTTTGGTGGAGGAGATTGTTTTTTTTAACCAGAAATGAACTTGTCGTTGTATGAAAAAAGGAACAAAAATTGTTCAAAGATACAAACTCCCGAAAGAGTGCAGAAAAAAGAAGAGAGAACATAAAAGGTAACAATTAAGAAGGGAAAATGAAAGTGTCCAAGTTGGCAAATAGGATTAGGAGAATAATTTCCGAAAGGATCTGAAAGAGAACACCATTATGAGTCTTTAAACTTAGCAAGGCTGAAACATTTGAAAGCTAATTTGCTCTTGCCCTCAAAGATACGAAGATTTATTTCTAACCATAATTAAGATAGTATAGCTTTGGAAGCATTAGTCCAAAGAAGACAAGCTTTGGACGGTAAAACCGGGCCATATAACAACTGGATCAGATCCTCCTTGACATCCAACGCAACCCAACTCAAATGGAACTCCTGAAATAGTAAAGACCAGCAGTGCAATGCGAAGGGACACTGGAAGAATAAATGATCCATACATTCCCCACTAGCACAGCCCATAAGACACAAAATGAAGGAAACAGGCAAAATAACTTCAGCTATTTTTATCCAATTATCAGCTGGATTTCTTCCGGCCTCTATTGATGTTCATTCGAAATCTAGAATTTTTGTGGTTCGTGTGGAACCTTTGTTTAAAACAGTCAATCATCCCATGAAGTTTTTGATTGGTGAATCTTCAAACTCGATGGATCTGAAGAGGTTTCATGAAGTTTTGGGTAGATGAAGCGTCTTTGGTTGAAGATGAAACAACTTTTAAGAAGACAGAGGAAATTATCGGAAGAGGAAAAGGCAATCTCGGATTCCACTCCAGTTGGTGAGTGTAGCCCTAAATTTGACCCGGATATATTTTCAAGGAGAAACTTTATTCCTCCCCTACCTTTTTTTTATTCAAGAAGGAAATTTCGACTAAGGATGTGGAAGCTTTATTGACAGTTGATTCTCTCAATTTAAATTTGGAATCTGCATTTAATGAGAAGGAAAGAGAAAGTGCTGATCTCGATTCTCCAAATATAGCTGGTTTAAATCATTCCTTTTTAGCACAAGATTTTATTGAGGAAAGAGAAGGGATTCTAAAGGGTTTTCAAATTAAATCTTCCAGACGTCCCTTCAGATCCACCCTTCTCTCTCTCTCGGCTCTATTAGGTCAACCAATGAAGGATCAAAGAAAATCCAGGTGGATTATTATTTTGCGGACGATGAGAATGATTTGAATTTGAGTATAAGCAGTCAAGACTCTACATCAAAGTTCTTCTTGATGTTTCGTTTTTTGGGATTCACAAACAACTTTTTGCAGCAGTTGTTTTTGATGGAAAGTTTTTCTGGTCTTGCAGTAGGGTTTGAAGTTAGAGTTCCAAAGTCATTGGTCTTCAATGTTCCAAGGGTTGATTTTTGGTGTTGTTTGGTTTGCAGAAAATTTTGGCATTTGGATCAGTGGTTATCCGAGAAATGATATCTTGGTTGCTTTCTTTGTTGGTTCAGTTGGTCTTTTTGGAGAAAGTGTTGGTTTTAGGGGCAACACTTTTTCTTAGAGGAGTGAAAGAGATCAAATTCCTGTTTTTATTTGTTCTGCGGTTGTGCCTTGTTGGTATCAAGCAGGAAATTCCTTCTAGTTTGGAGTCAGATGAATTTTTTCTGGGTTGTAGTGAAGTGGAGTCCTCTTTTTGGGTCGTTGTCTCAAGGAAAAAGCAAGTCATTGGTGGATAGTTTCAGTCTAGCCAAGTTGAAAGCATCCCTTCGAAGTTGAAAGCATCCCTCTGAGATTTCTAGTTTTTCATCCTTTTTGTTATGTTGTTTTGGGTGGCCTTTATTGCTCCCGTTTAATTCTTGTTCGCTTTTATTGCTCTCTTTAAGAAGCTTGCCTCTTTTAGTTTCTCTCTCGCTCCTTCGGGAGTTTGTATCTTTGAACATTTTTTGTTCCTTTTCATACTTTCAATGAAAAGTTCGTATCTTGTTCCAAAAAAAAGAAAAAAAAAAATTCCTTAGGCCAGGAATAGGGAGAATGGGGTATGCACAATGAAGCAACTGAAAAAACACCCAAAGCCTCCAAAAGCCAAAATTCACCATCTTCATTATTAATGGTAGCGGTTGAACTTAGGACGGACAGAAGGCATGCAAACTCATTAATTTCATCATCTTTCAAAGATCTTGTTACAACATTCCATGAAGCAGTTGTTAAATCCCAAAAATCTGAGACAGAACCAAGGGGAGAAGGAGAGAGCTGGAAGTTTCTTGTAGAAACTAACAATTATAGGAGAATTTCCTACCCATTGATGGTGTCAAAAAGCAATCCGCTCACCAGAACCAAGCTTGTAAGAAGAATAGAGTTCCACCTTCTTCCAATGCTTAGTAATATTGACCCAAGGACATCGGAGACAAGCATTTGGCTTTTCAACTGTAAACCAACCAAACTTATCTGAATCATAGATGCTGTCCACCACCTGCCACCATAGCAAGAGGGGTTCAAGGCCAAAACGCCAACCCCATTTTGCTAGTAATGCGCTGTTCTTCTTCGGCAGACCAATCCCAAACCTCTATCTTCTATATGCTTAGAGGTTATATTCCAGTGAACAACTTGGAACAGCTTGCTGGAAGTCTGAGGCCTCAACTTGGGACATTGGATTGAGGAGGAGTTTTTTTGACTGGGAGATTGATAGATGGGCTGCTTTTGTCAACTAGCTGGAAGGAGTGATTCTCAGGGTAGGGACTGTTTATGGTGGAAGACAGACAACAAGGGACTTTTTACAGCGAAATCATCTTTTCTAGCTTTACATCTTCCCCTAAATTGAGCACGGCAACAGATTCATTTATCTGGAATTTTAGGGTACCGAAAAAGCTGAAATTCTTTCGATGGACTCGTTTTATAGGGGCACAAATACGGCCGAGAGGATCCAATGAAAGCTTCCTTATTGGGCTCTTTCTCCTTCGGCTTGTGTGCTTTGCTTAAAGAATGCAGAAATGGTGGATCACATTTTTCTCCATTGTCCTTTTGCCTCACGGGCTTGGAACTACTTGGCTTCCCTTATGGACTTTTCTTTCTGTCCCCCCAAAAAGATTGATGATTTTATCATAGAAGGTTTTGGAAGTCCAGCGCTCAATGGGAAAGCTTCGGTCCTTTGGAATTGTGGGGCAAGGGCCCTCCTTTGGCTTCTATGGAAAGAGAGGAACAGTAGACTTTTTGAGTACACATTTGTCCACATAGATTTTTTTTTTGCGCGAATATTAAGCATACATCTTCTTGGTGGAGCATCAATCCACGAGAAGGTTTTATTTGTAATTATAGCCTTTTATCGATATTACAAGATTGGAAAGCCACGATTGTATAGTTCCTTAGGAGAGGGTTCTCTCTACCCTCCGCCTTTAGGCTGTTGTTGCCCTTTAGGGCTCTTTTGATATGAATCTATTATTCTCTGTTTCCTATAAAAAAAATATATTACAGTAAACAAGATGTTTCAAAGGCCCTTTTGAATTGCCTTGCGAAAATTCTCATTCTTTTTTTTTTCAATTTGTTTACAAACCCCCAAAGGCATTTGAAATAAAGGGATGCTACATAGAGTCAATTGACCGCCCCCAGGGAGCTAAATCCTCTTCCATGTATCCAATTTCTTTGATATTCTTTCAATAACAGGGTGCCAAAATTGAGAGATTTAGGGTTTCAGTGGAGGAGATTGTTAAAGCAATTAAGAACAATTATGGGGGTTTTGTCTGGTGTGCTTCAATAACCATCCATGCGAGGGACTAGCTGAAAGATTGTATTCAAACTAAGAACTTTTAACGGTTCCATCCCTCTTGAGGTGGTAGTTGATCATTCAAGAGAAGCAAGTTTTGCAGTGGAAATATTTGTGAGAATATTTGATGATTATTTTTTCAATTGATGCTAAAAGACTGGACCATTAAAAAAAAGATGCTAAAAGACTGGATAATAAGAAATCGAAAAGTTGGCTATTCAAGAAAAAATAGGACATGGAGTCAATCAGTTAGATTTGAATGAAATTGTTAGATGATATCCAATATAAATGAATTAAATTTACCCAACCCATCAGCTTAAGCTTTTGGGTTGAGTAGTGGTTTATTCATCCTTAAGATGGTATCGAAGCGGGAGGTCCTATGTTCGAATCACCATGTTGTTGTTTTCTCCCCATTTGTTATAATTTCCACTTGTTGGGTTTTGTTGCAATTTTCCAAGTCCACAAGTGGGTGGGAGTGTTAGATGACATCCAATATAAATGAATTAAATTTACCCAAACCTATCAGCTTAAGCTTTTGGGTTGAGTGGATGGATTTTGGATGGTTAGTCATTAATTGATTTCAGTTATGTTCCAAAAAAGTTGGTGATGGAACAAAGGTTCTCTTTTGGCATCACATCTGGGCTGGGAAGGAGGCTTTAAAGGTTTGTTTCCCTAAAATCTTCATTCTGTCCACGGTTCCTAAAATCTCGATTGGCTTACTAAATGGGATTTTGCAAAAAGTTATGCTTCTTTTTTATGCTCTCTATGAAGTGATTTTTCTTATTATTCTTTGTAAGTGGTGAAGCAGTTTTATTTTCTGTTATGCTTAGTGGGTCTATTTTTTCTCTCTTCTTCTTCTTTTAACTTCATTAATGCATCTCTTTTTCATTAAAGTGTTTAATTTAAAAAAACAAAAATTATGTGCTGTTAGTTAATTTCCATTTTGCAGCTTGTTGCTCAACCAATGGATTTATAACTGCTCTCGAATGCTTGAATGATGGCTCTTTTCACTTGTCTGATGGTTGATTCATTCCCTCAGCATACAGTGTCGGGGCTGTGCTCGCTCAGGTGTTGTTTGTCTATGGCTGCATGCTCAAGATATCCTCTTACATTATGTAAAATAGTTCATGTTCAGTTTTGTTTTATAGAGTTTTAAGGGTTAGTTCATCACTTTTGTAGGTGTGTCTTATACTTACAACAGAGTGTTAGAAGTGATCAGATCCTTCCCTCTTGTAGTACTGTAGCCTTCAATTGCCTTCAAACTTCATTTTTCACTTTGTTGTCTATAATACTCTTTAAAACGCTATTCACATTTACAAAATTCTTTTGAGTTGGAACTACGGGCAAGCCCCAAGGCCCGAACTTGGGATTATAAAATTCATTTATGTTAAAGATATGACCTAAGATTGCCTTTGAAGTGAAGTATTTTTCCTTGACTTGGGTATCACCCAATTGCTAGATTTGAGTAACAAAGTGGGATTGTGATATTAAACCAAATGATTGGTTTCAATTGATAATCTTTAACAAAGGAGTATAATGAATGACTTGTCAACTTGGAGGCATATGGCTGATTCAAGTTAGAATGTTTAATGTTTGAACTTTCTGTCTCCATGATTTTTACACAACCAATGTCTGATGATGTAGTCATCTTTACAATCTTTGGATTTGGATTCTCATATTCATTATCAAGGTGGTCAGCCTTATTGATTCAAATAGTAAATATACCTCTATAACTTATTGGTTCTTTTAATAAGGTAGTTGATTGCGTTTATTTTGCTTAATTATTGCTTATATAAATAATTCAGGGTGTGTTTGGAAGTGATGGTAGAATCCGTGTTCAAAATGTCGATGTCGTTGAAAATGTCGAGGTCCTGATTTTACGGACATGTTGATGTCGATGGATATTTCGGGAAAAATAATGGAAATTGTGGAAATTGATGGAAATTTTTTGAATTAGCAAATAAAAATTGAATTGTAGCTTAATTAGCCTATAATTGATCACATTTAATCATTAAATGTAAGAATATGACCATTTTACTTATGAAAATGTCGTGTCGATAGAAATATCGAAAAAAGATTTTTTCGTTTAATGAAGATTGATGGAAATTATTTCATAATAGGATTTATTTGGAAATGAGATAATTACTGATTTGGTTTCCAAACACATTTCTAAATTCTAATTAACTCGTACCTGTTTACTTTTTACCTATTTCTCTTTTCAATTTTGAATTTACAAATTTTTCAAACACATCTTCAAATCAATCATCAATCCAACTTTCCAATCAAATTTACACGACACGTCGACATTGAGTAAGGACTAAATTATTATAGACTGCAGTGGCATAGTAAGAAGATGATGAAAATAAAATAACTTTAAAGAAGAGGAAAAAGAAAAAGACATGTCGACATTTCGACGTGTCGATGACATGGGGGAAAATCGACTTTTTCCCCTTATTTCGATGTCGGCATGTCCAGCGACATGTCAACATGTCTCTCGACATTTTGAACCCTGGGTAAAATTAGTGATTTTGAAAAAAAAAAAGATAGTATAATTGATTTTCTAAAATCACAATACAAGTGATAGAATGAAAATCAATTTAAAGTGATTTTAAACTTTTTAAAAATTAATTTTTTAATTTGGTAAAATATATTAATGGAAAGAGAATTGATTTTGATAATGAATTTGGACATATCAAAATCACTTCCAAACACACGCTTAATTATTTGTGACAAAATTGCATGTGGCTAGCTGTTATGCAACGGGAATCGATAGTCAGCTACAGGTTATGACCGGAGGGAAGCCCACTGGGCCACGAGGGGCTCGGTCCCGACCCGGGGCTCGGTCCCGAGCCGTGCTCGGCCCACGGCCCAGCCAACGATCCCCCGTCTTCGATCGACAGTTTCGCCCAGGCCCTGCAACGATGAATTAGGGTTAGCTACGAAAAGTTCTGGAACAACTTCACGCTATAAGTAGCGATCCAGCCTTAGATAGAGGTAAGGGCATCCAAAAGTTAGTCACATTTACGCTATTCTCTTGCTAACTTAAGCATCGGAGCCCGTGTGACTAAAGTCACACCGGTTTAGCTCGATTTGGTTTTGCAGGTACTAGTCCCGAAGTAACAAGTTTGGTGAGTGCGAGGAGGAGAACCGGAGGACCGAAATCCAAGCATCAACAATTGGCGCAGTCTGTAGGGAAGATTTAAAGCATCCAGTTGAGCAACATGACACCAGAAAGGAGTCCACGACGCTCTGATGATAACTGCTATGCCAAGAGGAGGCTGAACTTGGACGACCCCCAGGTTGGAGGACCCGAGGATGGGACCAGCCAGCCAAACCCAGAACGTCAGGAGGGGTTGCCCGAGGCGCATGCACTAACGACCCCTGAGCCACTCCAAAAGCAGTTTGCGATCTTGGAAGACAAGGTAGAGGGCATGCTTCAACGCATGACCCAAGTCCTTCGACAATTCGAGCGACAAGAGTCCGACGAGGTACCCCTTGTCAGAGACCCGAGAAAGGGGAAGGGCCCAGCGCAAAGCGAGACCGAGGAGTCAACAAACAGTGCAGGGAGCAAGTTGCGGATAGGTGGAAATACCAGGCGACGAACCCGGATTTTCGACTCCCAAAAGATGAAAAAGCAACGTAAATCCCCGGCACCAAATGGGGGCAAGAGCGACCATGATAACAGAAACTCTGAGCCGATAAGTCTCGACAAAGGCAAACTGACAGATCGGCCAGAGCCTTCGGAGAAGCGACACAACCAAAAGGAGAA